CCAAGACTGTAACTCTTTAACAGAGAGGGAAGTCTTGTCTTTCTCCTGTGAAGCTGCTGACGGTTTCAAACTGCTGACCTTGCAGTTAGCAGCCCAACTCAGAACTCACCAGGCCACCAGGGCTCCTTCCCAGCCAGTACGTGGATCCAAAACGAGACCCCGAGTCACCAAGATGCCAGTCTGGAACGTTCTGACTGCTTTCTGATGTTGCTAACTTGGAAAACAACTAGTGACTCGGCTACGTGAAAACAACTGAACAATCATTACACAACATTTCACGCCCCGAAGCCATCTAAGAAGACTGACCCCGGGTGGCACAAACGGTTAAGCTCTCTGCTACCTGCCAAAAGGTTGGCTGTTTAAAACCAGGCCGAGTTGGAATGGAAGGAGGCCCTATGGAGGGCAGCTCGACTGCACACAGGGGCATCACGTGCCAGGGCTGATTCTACAGTGACAAGCACCCACCACAAAATATAAGAAGAGAGTGAACAAAACAGCCCCTTGAAGGGTGCACACAAAAGCTCCTCCAGTGGCCTCTGAGCTGCTCTCGTTCCTCCAGGACGTCCTAAGGATCCGATTCCGGGTCTGTGCAGCCCTGGTCAGGATCAATGGGAGTTATGCTTATCTCCACCAGGAAGAGGCCTGGAAGACAGCCTGGGCGACCCATCCACACAGGATTCTCTGGGCCTGGGAAGCATTCCTTCCTGAGCAGAAGACGGTCTCCCCTTCCCCAGATAAGCTCAAAATCAACAAACGCGTGGCAGCCCTCGAGGTCAGGGTGGAACTGGCCCTGTGGGTTTCAGAGACTGTAACTCTTGATGGGAACAGGAAGCCTCATCTTCCTCCACTGGGGCAGCTGGCAGTTTTGAACTCTGACCTTGCAGCTAGCAAGTCTAACCCATCACCCACTACACCCCCTGGGCTCCCCGCCTCACTGCAAGACAATTCATATTCCATCAAAACTATCATGAGATGCCCTGGCAAAAGTGGAAACGATTTACTTTTTTTAATATTTCAAAATTCCAGAAAATAACAAAGGCTGAGCGGGGATGAGATCGCTCATTCACTGCCGGCAGGGCTGTAAGATGGAATGGGGACGATAAACAGATTGGAGTGGCCTCAGAAACAAGACCAAGATCCCATAGGACCCAACCAACTCACTCATGGGCACATGTCCTGGAAATATGGACATCGGTCCCAGAAACATAAGGGCGGCAATATGAATCGCCGTGTGCATACCAGTGTGCGTTGTGGCCTCACTCACAAGAGCCAAAGAGAAGGAAGCAAACGACGTGCCCCTCGGTGGATGAATAAACATATCGTGGTACACATGTACAACGACATTCGTCAAAATGACACATTAGAAGGAGGAGTCTGCGAGACATCTTATAACATGGAGGAATCCAGAGGACACTATTCCGAGTGAAATAAATCACTTGTAAAAAGACATAAGTCGCATGGACCCCCTGTGATAGCAATGTCACGAAGAGATACACAGAAAACAGAGTTCTGTGATGGTTGCCAGGGGTGCCTGGGAGGGGCAGGGAGGAGGAGGCACTCCCTACATAGTAGACCCTCGTCACATTGATGAAGGGAAAGACAATCCCAACTGTGGTTGATGTCAACATGACCAAGATAAACAGGGACACTAAGAAGGACCAGAGAAAATATAGCACCTGGGGTCTTAAAGGCTTGAAGGTAAACAAGCAGCCATCTAGCTGATAAGCAACAAAACCCACATGGAAGAAGCACACCAGCCTGTGTGACCACGAAGTGTCGAAGGGACCAGGTGTCAAGCACCAAAGAACAAAAAAATCATATCATCTAAGGGAGGGAGAGTGGGGAGGGAGGGGGAAAATGGGCAGCTGCTATTAGCGGCTAGAGTAGAAGGCAAATGTTTGGAGAATGATGAGGGCAGCGAATGTGCATATGTGCTTGACATAATGGATGTATGTATGGATTGTGATAAGAATTGTACGAGCCCCCAATAAAATAATTTTTTTTTAAATCATATCATCGTGAATGAGGAGTGCGGGGTGGGGACCCAATGCCCATCTGTAGGCAACTGGACATCCCTTTGCAGAGGGGTAGCAGGGAGGAGATGAGTCACTCAGGGTGCAGTGTAGCATCGATGAAACACACAACTTTCCTCTAGTTTTTACATGCTTCCCCCCGCCCACACACACACACACACTATCATGATCCCAATTCTACCTTACAAACTTGGTTACAACAGAGGATGTTCAGTGGTGCAGATAGGAACTGGAAACACAGAGAATCCAGGAAAGATGAACTCCTCAGGACCAGTGGTGAGAGTGATGATACCGGGAGGGTGGTGGGAAGGTGGGGTAGAAAGGGAGAACTGATTATAAGGATCTACATATAACCTCCTCCCTGGGGGATGCACAACAGTAAAGTGGGTGAAGGGAAATGTCAGGCAGTGTAAGATATGATAAAATAATAATTTATAAATTATCAAGTGCTCATGAGAGAGGGAGGAGCTGGGAGGGAGGAGGAAAAATGAGGAGCTGATTCCAAGAGCCCAAGTGGAAAGCAAATGTTTTGAGAATGATGAGGGCAATGAATGTACAAATGTGCTTTACACATTGATGTATGTATGGATTGTGATAAGAGTTGTATGAGCCCCCGATAAAAAGAATTAAAAAAAAGAACTACCTGAGAAAAAGGGACAGTTTCAGTAGATGCTGTAACATATATAATTTTACAGCACCAAAAGCAGAAAAAGAAGCAAACACTGGGTGTGTGGTTAACAAGGTAGTTATGGATACATATATAGGCATAAACAGGCATATGTAAGCCAATTCACGTACATGTACAGATGCATCTGTAGGCATATGTCTAGACACATTGATGTGTGCTGCATCTATGATGGGGCTTAAGAACGTTCAAGGAAATATGGAGTTGAAAAGTCATGCAATTTGTCCAACTCTTTGAGCTCCTCCACCTTCCATCCACAAATATAACACAGCTATAGGGAGCCCAGGGGCTTACGAGGCATAACCAAACATTTCACATGATTGCTTTTCTGGGCTAAAAGGCTTGAGACCATAACCTCAGTGGAGAACGAAGACTTCTCATGCTGGCAGAACATAGTTCACAAAGATAGTGTTCTATACCCTACTTTGATGAGTAATATAGGGGGTTTTAAGAGCTTGAAAAATGGTCACCCAAGATACAATTCTAGGACTCTTTTCACGTGGAGCAAAAAAGACAGAAGAAATCAAAAGGTACAAAGAAGAAAGTAGTCCACAGGACTAATAGCCCACACAATGCACAGTCTCTTCTAATCTGAAACCAGAAGTACTAGATGGTGCCCTGCTACCGCTACCGACTGTTCTGACCAGGGATATAATTGAAAGTCCAGGATACAAGATGCAGAAAATTCAAACTCCTAAAAAAAAAAAAAAAAAGGCCAAACCTACTGGACAAACAGATTGGAGGAAAGATACCGTATATACTTGTGTATAAGCCGAGTTTTTCAGCACATTTTTTATGCAATTCTTGTGGTAAAATTAGGTGCCTCAGCTGATATTTGGGTCGGCTTATCCTCACGTATATACGGTAACCTTTATACGCAAAGATACCCTTTGAACTTGGAATTATGGCTATTTCTGCAGGCCACCTTTCAGCCAACTAGTAGACTGGCTTATAAAGTAAACAATAAGACCCAGGAATGATTTGCTTTCTTGAACAATTAACAATAGGAGACCCACGGAAACAGCGCGAATCACGGGAGCGTTGACACGCTGGAAAAATGGCAAGCCATGGCACGGAACTATTTTTTTTTTATTTGTATCAGGGAGCCTAATATACTATGTAAATTTTCACTGAAAACACAACCAAAAACGTTTGTTTGGATTTTACTTTTTTAAAGAAGAAGACGATGATTCATTTTGTCCAGTTGGCTGCCTGGGGCTTCCATTTTTTATGATTTATTTTCTCACTCCACACCTCGATCACACCCCACTTCACCTCCCTAAATCCGCTTCTAACAGGGTTCTTCCAACACGCCGGCCTGACTCAAAAGCTGTACACTTGATGTGAAGAAGGTATGGCACTCCACCGACCAGTGTATCGTGACGTGGTCAATCATAAAAGCTGGTGCTGGCTGAACAGAGGAGTAATCTCTCTCAGCACTCCAGTCGAGCAATGCCAAGAAACACAAAGTGCACGGAGAGGTGGACGAGTAGGCTGGGATGTCAGAAAAAGTATGGAGATGTATATATGAATATGGACATATATATATGGATATATATATATCCACTAGAGTGGTCATTACTTAAAAGGTAAAGTTTTGTTCATAAAACCATCAGCAGCGCCAATGTCCAGGAAATTAATCAACTCATGACTGCAGAGCTGGTGAGCAAAGCCCCCTCACACGCACAGGCGCTCCTTCAGGAGAACCCCCAGTCTGCAGCTGGTAAAAGGCAACCCTTTCACCCCAGTTCCCTGCGTTCAATCAAGGTGACTTCCCCTCTGCCAACAGAAAGGTGGGAGCAAGTCAGCCCTGCCATAAGCACCGCTCTGGACCCAGTGTGTTTCCTGCTCTGGGAGAACTTGAATCTGATGGAGCCCGAGTTTCTGAAATGTCATCACTTGCCCTTTTTATTTCCTTGTTTCAATGTTTCCCACATCGAACTTTCTGGGGGCAAATAGTGCGCCCTGTCACTTGGCAACAAAACCACTGCTCGTGTATCTCCAATATTAAACCAATACCTGGTCTGATCACTCCCATCTTGATCTTGGATGTCTATCAACAAAGGGCTTAGACTTTCTTGGAACATGTATACATTTCAGAGTGCAGAAAAGCTAAAGAGCCAGCGAGATCGTGAAGCAATCATAACTGTTCTTTTAAGAAAACCATTCTCTCACCTGGACGACCGGCAGGCAGAGCTCATGCCAGAGAAATCTAGGACTAAATTAGTTTAAACTGCAAGACTAGCCTAAAGATGAATTTCTTAATGTGCTTATGCACTTACCTGTAGGGGGGCCTTCGTCCCATCCTTCTGCGCGCTTCATCCTATTCAGTGTGTGTCCCAGACAGAGGTGGACTCCAATGACAACAGTGAACAGGGATGGCAGCTACGGGAACAGAGGAATCAAGTTGTCAAATGCAGCTTTTGTTGCAGGTTGGCGCCCTGCCGTTCATCTAAGCGCGACTCCATGTGACAGAGTAGAACTGACCCCCATGGAAATTTCTTAGCGATTTTGTTTGTTTCTTAAAAAAACAAAAACGAAGGCAGCACATTTTGCTGCATTTGGGAAATTGTAGGATTAAGGGGAGAGGTTGAAATCGTATGAATCGCCTTCATATCACTTGATTCGGTCCACACTTAGTACTAATGAAATGATATGAAGACGATTCAAATGACTTCAACCTAGCCCTACAACTTCCCAAAAGCATCAGAAAGCGCTGTCTTCGTTTAAAATTACGTTTAAAATTAAAATCACGAAACCCAAAGTCGTTCAGAAAGCGATCCTGACGGTCAAGCGCGTGCCCGGCCGTCGCAGCCCTACCTGGGGCGATTGGAAAGCGCTTCTCCCGGCCATGGTGAAGCGGGTTCTTGCAAAGCGCGCCCCGGTCGGCTCCGCTGCCCTGCACCGAAGGGACTGCTTTGGGGCTGTGGGTCCAGACTGTTAACTACAAGTAATCCCACCTGGGAGGTTGACAGGCTCCTCTGATTGGTCCGCGGCTTGATGTCATCAGAGCCGGTCCCCCAATCGCCGCGCGGAGCCGAAGGGGCTGCAGCACCCTCCCGCCCCCTCGCCACCCCCTTATCGGGCCCGCCCCAACCCACAGACTCTTTCATGTGGTTTCCGCTGGCGACGTGGGGCTCTCGCGGAGCTGTGGCCAGGCCGGCCGTGCACGCGCATTCGCCTTCCCTGGAAAACCAGGAGCTTCCAAACAGAAACCAAATGCCTTTGACCCGAGCAAAATGAAGCCGAGCCGCGGTTCCAAGTCGCAGATTGATGCTTCCAAAGTTTACAAAGACAGCCATTCCATGCACAGAACCAATCGCACCCCACCCCCCACCCCTCATCTCTTCTCCCTTCTTCAACCAAGGAAGCTGTAAAGTTCATCAACTGAACAACGATCCCGGTCTTTCCCGTGAATTTCCTTATCTGCCTGCTTAAAAACCGCCCTGTCCCTCAGGCCACATCCTCAGCGCCTCCTGACTCCTCAAGTGTTTTCTCAACTTGAAATCGCCCGGGCTTGTAACGAAGGCAAGAGATACATTATTTCTCCCCCCCTCCCCATCCCCTCCGCGCGCCCGGTTTAGAGAAGTAACTTTTATCAAATTTCTGGGCATGCCAGCCAAGCAGCTGAAAGGCCTGCTCTATGGGCTGGGCGGTGGGGAGAGGGTGGGGGTGAGGAGAAAGAACACAAACAGCTTTAGGGTCTGCCTCTTGCCCCCAAAGCCGCCAGCTT